CAGGTATCTAGAGAGAGTCGACCAACGAGGAATGCTACAGCAAAATTTAGTAGCTCACAATCCAAATTTAGCAGCCAAAAAGGAGAAACTGCTTCAGAAAAGGCATCTAATACTTCGTTGTTTGAGATATTGAAGCGATCTTCATCTCAATCCCATGCCTGTAATCAGGATAGTATGACTGACCTCCCAAAGAGTATGTTTGCTTCTTTTAGAATTCCAAAGAAGCCTATGAAAATGGAAGGAAAAAGCTAATTTGCGTGGATTGGATAGACTTCAGTTCTATTTATTTCTCGATATTAAACATCCGCTTAGTGAATCTTAAAATGCCTTATAATTGAATTTGTAAGCGATTTCTTTTATTTTTGTGATCCACTATCCTTTTATGTCGACTTTAATAGAAAGAGATTTTTTTTTTTTTATCAATTCTAATATTTTAGAAAAAAAAAAAAGATACCAACAGTTTGTTGTTTACAATCGCTTTAAAGGATCATGAAATGGGGTGTAAACGGTTTGGTTCGATTGATTTCTTACGTGTTTTCATACTAAGCTCTCGTTTGGTGCATATTTTTGGAAAAAGAATGTATTTTTACTATTGATGTGATGAGAAATAAATATGTGGTTGAAAAATAAAGAAAAGTTATTGGTGTGATGAAAAATATTATTTTATTGAAAAATGTGATTAAAAATGAGTAGAAGAATGAGAATGAAAAAAATAATGTGGCTCAAACAGGGTCTAAGTCGTTTTAAATGGCTTGATAGAAATCAAAATCAAATCATTTGAAGTGGTTAAAGAATTTTTCAAACCTATATCTACTGATTTGTTTAAGTTTAAATCGTGATTTAGTCGTATATTTATATTGTCACAAGTTCAATGACTAACAAAACATTTTTCATATTTTGTTATTAATAAAAAAATATACGAAATTTTAACTTTTAAATATTGACAAATTAAAGAAAAGTTTTAACAATAAACTGTTTTGTTGCGTCATGATGATTTAGACGGATAACCACATAATATGTCACTACCAAGATTTAGTATTACTTGATGTGTACACGCAAATGCAAGTATGGTGGCTTAACGAAGAGTCAAATGCACAATAACAAGTCAGAAATTGATAATAGCTTGTTTTAGCCGCATTAAAAGGTTAATAATGCATTTTGGAATAGTTGATTGATGGAGAGTGGTTAAAAAATAAAGGAAAAATTTGAATTTGCGTATAATATTATTTTATTGAAAAACGCATTGTTGAAAAAAGTGAGAGAAAAACGTATTTTGAAAAAATGAGAATACTTGTTTGACAGTTGACACCCATTTTTTGAAGAATATAATTTTTTGAATAGTGATTGATGGAAGAATGTGTAGTGAAAAAGTTATGAAAAATTTTAGATTTGTGTGTAATATTATTTTATTGAGAAAATATGTGGTTGAAATGAAGAAAAAAAATGAGAATGAGAATCGTGCCAAACATTTGCTTAATTTCTTAACATCTAACTTCCTAATCAACGTCCAACCATGAAGCTGCTTTTATATTTACATTTAAGAGGAAAAAATGCCTACTAATTCAGTTTTCACACCATTTTATTATTAAAGTATTATTATATTAATTTATTTTAATGAATAATTTCTTAATCTGTAGACCAGTATAACTAACATAGAATAATATTATTTCAAGTCAACAAGACTGATTTTCTCAAGTCAAAGCATTTCCAAAAGCCAAATGTTCTCTATTTTAAAAAGTCAATCTTTAAAATAATATTTCAAAAAACTTTTTAAATTAACATTTTAATTTAGTGAGTGGGTTTGCTCACTTTTTATAATTAAATGTATTCAAAGTATTGCAATTTTCAATGCAGAAAAATAATAAAATAATCTAAAAATAATAATAATAAATATTTTTTTGGAGTAATAAAATAAAATGTTAAATATAAATAGATTGTTGGAGTACTAGAAAAATTTAATTCTCTAAATTTATATATATTCTTCAAATGATAGAATATGCTCTTTAAAAATAAAAAATCTCATGGGCATGCTCTCACTCCATTAAAATAGTTTCAAGGGGTTACATCCATTAATGAGTCAATGACCATCCAACTTTGTACTTAGTGACACCATGACCACCTAATTTAATTTTTATTTTATCATGATTATCCAACTTTATATTTAATGTCATCATAACCACTCAATTTGATTTTATTTCGCCATAGTCATCTAATTTCATATAATGTTTCAACATGATCGCTCATTTTAAAAGGGGTAAATTGGAATGTTTTATCGTGATTACCCAACTTTATACTTAATGTCATCATAACCACTCAATTTGATTTTATTTCGCCATGACCATCTAATTTCATATAATGTTTCAGCATGATCGCTCATTTTAAAAGGGGTAAAATTGAAACTTTATATTATATATATGAGAAATTAAAAAATAATAAAATAAAAGTTTTTTTAAAGTTAAAAACTTTTTATTTTAAAATAATTTTTATTTATGGAACATTTTTTAAAAATAAATTTATATTTTTTCATTTTTCTAATTAACTTATTTTAAAATAATTTTTTATTTTATTTTAAAATTTTTTTAAAAAAGAATTTTTTATTTTATTTTTTTTAAAAAAAAAGAATTTATTTTTTATTTTTTTAAGTTTCGTTTTTTTAAATAATATTTTATTTTAAAAAATTATTTTTGTTTTTAAAAAAATATTTCGTATATATAATGCAAAGTTACATTTTTACCCATTTTTAAATTAATGAAAATAGTGAAAAGAAGTTGGGTGGGTGGCCATGGTGAAATAATATATGAAATTGGATAGTTATGATGAAACGTTATATGAAATTGGATGGTCATTGTGAAATAAAATAAAATTGGATGGCTATAGCAGTATAGTGACACTAAGGCCCTATTTGTTCTCCATTTTTTCCCCATTTGTATAAGAATTATAACCGTTGCACAGATTTCTAGCCGACATTTTTGACCAAAATGTGTGATAATGGGGCCCAGCAGTTTCAGAAAAACGGTCACAAAATTTCTACTAATTGGAAGAAAATGTAGAAGAAACAGGGGCTAAATATAAAATTAGGTGGTTATGGTAAAACAAAATCAAATTTGATAGTCATTCATGAATTTAACCCTAGTTTCAAGACTTTAGCCTTTATGAAAAATATTTATTTTAGTGAATTGAAAATTTGAAAAGGTTTAAAGGAGAAAATTGATGTACCAAAATATAAAAACATAATTCTTGAGACGTATTATAAATAGAGGAAATTACATAATTCCAGGTATTTCAACTTTAGAGTGCAAAAATCAGGTGAGAAGATTTTTTAATCAAAATTCAGGTATTGATTTAAAAATTAAATATTATTCCCACCCTACCTAATCTCAAACCCTAAATCATTTTTCATTTACCTCTCATTCTCTCCTTGTCTCTCTCTCTATTGATTAAAAAATTAAATATTATTCCCACCCTATCTACTCCCAAACCCTAAATCATTTTTCATCTACCTCTCTCTATCTCGTCTCTCTCTACCCTCTCCATTTTCTTTAGATTGTCGTCACCCTTGAGGAGCTCCCGTAGCCGAAGAGTCGAGCAGTGGCTTTATCGCAGCTGTACTGCGTCCTCGAGGGCGGGCCTGCCCAGTTTATTTATTTTTTATTTTTTTCAAATATTTCCAGTTAAAATATAAATTCAATCCCAAACCCTAAATCAATTTTCATCAACCTCTCCTTCTCTCATCGCCTCTCTCTACCCTCTCCATTTTCTTTACATTGCCATCGCCATAGAGGAGCTCCGGTCGTCGGAGAGTAGAGCAGTGGCTTCATCGCTGCTGTGCTGAGCCGGCAGCAACATAGCCCTCGCTGTTGCTAGAGTTCGGATTGTGCACCGACCTTCTCTTATCACGTTATCTCCTCTTTCAACAGTAGCGGTGGAGCTGCGGCGATGGAGTTACCTGAAACTGTACACATCACACAACGTCAATCTATAGCTGTTATAACTCCGATCGGAGCCAGATCATATCTACGTGTATAGCGAGGCGTGACGTGGTGATGGTGGAGGCGCTACAGTGTTGATAGTGGTGGCGCCGCGCGGAGGTAGCTACAGGATTTGTGAATGACAGTGGTATTGCGTGGTGGTGTTGGGGACATTTTTAGACGAATCCGTGGCTGCCGCAGGGCGCTGCTGATGTGAAGGTGAGGTGGTGATTCTGCAAGCGATGGCGCAGGGGTAACGTCGTGGTAGTTTGACTGTGGAGTTTTATTGGTTGTGTGTAGTTGATGGTGGTGGCCGTAACGGGTTTGGGTTTTTTGTTGGGTGGTGGTGGTGGTGTGATGTGGATTGTTGTGGTGGTGGTTGTAGTTTTGTTGGCAGTTGATTGGATCAGGTAGCGACGATTTGGTGGTGGTGATGTGTGGTGTTGGTGGTGGTGCTATCGTGGCAGTGGTGATAGTGACGGGTGGTGGACCTCCTAGCGGCAAAGACGAGCGGAGGCAGTGGTGGTAGTGTTGAAGACGGTGGCGTGTGACCACTATTTGGTGTACGTGACCAAGTACTTGGTTACACGTGGCCAAGTATTAAACAGTGACGTTAAAATTTGTTAACCTGTGACTTGAAATGTAATTTGTGACCAACAAATCTGGAAACATGTGATCAATAGATAAATCGTGACCTGTAATTTTTTTATTTGTGACCAATAAAATAAACCGTGACCTATAAAAATTTTGATTTGTGATTTCGAAATAATCTGCGACCTATAAAATTTTTGATTTGTGACTTCGAAATAATCTATAATC